ACGTGCATTCCATTTCGATCAACGTAAACCATTCAAATCTCTACATTGCACAAATTGCAATCGTATAGGTCACGTTTACAATTTTTGCTTTGATCGTATTAGTGCACAAAATACGCCCAAACGGGTTCATAACCCTAGGGCCTTGGATTTAAATGATAGGGGTCATGTCCCAAGTTCTAGTGGTACCAAAATGATTTGGGTACCAAAATTATTGTTATACTATTTCTTTTTTTTTAATTTCTTGTTTTGTTCTTATTTTGAATAATTGGTTTTTGAGTTGTTAATGACAAATTGTATTTTTTTGCTAAAAAGAATTATTTGCATGATCTTATAGCTAAAAAACATTTATATATATCTTATAAAACTTTTGGCATATTATAAAACAAATTTCTTAAAGGTTTAAATTAAAAATCTTTCAAAATCAAGTTTTTATATTGCCTGCACTTTTTATTTCCTCGCGGTCAACCGACCCGGTCGACCGACGAAGTCTCTGTAAGTTGTTTCGGTCGACCGTGTCGGTCGACCGACAGAGAATTCTCAGCAGCGATTTGTGATTTTATCCGGTTTCGGTTTTTTTATTGGATAATTGTTTTGGACCTGAAATCTTCACCACCATTGATCTAATCATGAGTCAATCCCAGTCCTTCCTTCATTTCCTTCATCTCTCAAAAGACTCGACTCCTCATCTCTCATCTCAGTTTCGAAATCTTAGAACTAGGGTTTGATATCTCTCTCTCGGTCGCCTGATTCAGTCGACCGCTGCTCCTCTCCATCAAGTTCCATCAGTCTTTTGCTGGGTAATCTCTTCTCTTATCTCTTGTTTTCTGTGTTCTTATGTTTATATTTTTCAATCTAGGGTTTCTGTTTTAGGGTAGTTCTTAATCTGCTCTAAATTTCCTTTCGTTGTTTCCAGGGGCTTCTAATTTATATCTCATATCTGATCAAAACCCCAATCTATCATGCCTCCCAAAAAGAGATCAAAACCTAAGTCTAGTTCATCCTCTATAAAAGCTTCTCATTATGAGGATTTTCTGTTGTTTAAATCTCTTGTTAAAAAATATAGGGAGTTGTGCAAATTGAAAATTATTCCAACCAGATATATCAAATTCAATCACTTAGCCATGTATGACACTCTCACAATTCTTCATGATGTTGGGTTGGCTAGGCTATTAGATGAGAAAGATAAAGTTCCTTATTATCCTTTTCTAGTTTATCTGTTTTATGCCAACATGTCTGTTATATCCTCTGTTGATGGTCGTCAGACCATTACTTCATCTGTTAAAAATGTTGAAATATCCTTTTCTGCCAACGAACTTGCAGGGATTCTTAAAATCCCAACATGTGACGTTGACCTCATGTCTATTGAGCTTGGTGATCCAGCTGTAAACCAACTCATGTTTAAGCCCGGTTGCTCCTATCCTATGAACAACAATTCTCTCAATCCAAATGCCAAACTCATTGCTAGAATCGTTGCTCAAAACTTGATTCCTAAAACCGATAGTTTCGATCACTTTGCCTCTGACAAGATAAATGCTGTGTATGCCATATTTGCCAAAATAAAAGTAGATTGGGCAAATGTTTTTATCAAAAACATGGCATCGAAGCATTTCAAATTTCTACCATTTGGCTCCTTTATCACCCTCATCCTTCAACATTTCGGTGTTGACCTCACCCATGAACCAAAAATTGAATCTAAGAAGGACTTCTTTGATAGGATCTCTCTTTCTAGGATGCAGATCTCCTTATCTGATCCTACTCATTCATCATCCTCTCGTTCCCGGTCTAGAGCTTCTTCCTCATCTGCTTCTGATATTTGTGACCGTCTGGATCGTCTTGAGACTCAGTTCTCAAACGTTCAGAAGAAAGTCTCAACTATCCAAAGGGATGTTAGGACCATTCTTTCATATCAGCGTCAGTCTCTCGGGATTCCGGATCCCTCTTCTAGTTCTGAGTCTGATTCTGAGGAGGACACTGCTGATGGCTCAGGCTCTTCTGATGGTGATGGTGATGGTAATGGCGATGGTAATGGTGATGATGATGGTGATGATGATTGATCTTGCAGCTTATTGGAGTTCTTTTAAATTGATTCCCATGCCTTTTGTGATGTTACTTTTTGAGTTGTAAAACTTGATATCTATGTTTTTGTTTGAGTGTAATAACTCTATATTAGTGTGGAACTATGTGACTTTTTATGTATGGTTTGCTATCTTGTGGAACAAACTATGTTTATGCAAAACCATGTTGTTTCTAAATGCTTAAGTGGTGATTTGTGATTTATAATGTTAGTTTATCTTTTCTATGATCAATGCATGGTTGAAACAATGTTCATGTTTTTGTTTGTGGAATATAAGTTGCTAATGATGAGTTCCTTGATTTATATATTGTTTACGATTTTTTTTGGATAATTGTTGTTTAGCTCCTATATATGTTCAATAGATGTCATTTATTCAATTTGACAGGGGGAGCTTTTGGAATACATTTTTATTATCTGTGCTTATATGCAGGGGGAGCGTTGCTCCTAATTTGTTTCTTTTTTGATGTTGTCAAAGGGGGAGAAACAATCCACATATGGTTTACAAATTCATATATGGTTTATGATATTCATGTATGATTTATTCATGTTTGGCTTATATGTGGGTTATCAGTTTATAATTCATATTCATGTATAAATTGTTTGCCATCATCAAAAAGGGGGAGATTGTTGACCCTATAGTTTTGATGATGATTTGTCAAACAATTTATCGCTAATATATTCTCTAGTTTTTGTGTTTATGTTTCTCTTTTCAGGTATTTCAACACACGTCAATCAAGCGTTAAAGATTCAAGCTCATATGTGTGGATTTACCTAGGTATCTGTTTGGTTTACTTACATATATTGTATGATTATATCTAAGCTCAATATATGTACACTTAACACGATTTTTGACGTTTTCTATCATATAAATGATTTTTCATCAAACGTTGTTATAATAACTTTTATCTCATGTTTACAGCTCTTTCATACTTCATTATATACATATAACACATGCTCAATACCGAGAACCTCCAGAGACTTTTCCGGTCGACCAAAAATTCCGTCGGTCGACCGCCAACTTTAAAATGTTATTTTCTGAGTTTTTGAGCTTCGCGGTCGACCAGACCGGTCGACCGCCGAACTGTCAGAACTGTTCAAACGGCTAGTTTTTCCAGCTGTTTTCAAACTGGTTTTTTGGTCTTTTACTTATGTTTTTGCTGTTGTATTGGGGTGCTATATATACCCCATTGCTGTTCTTCTTCCATATATCCAAGAAATCCAAGTTTGGTGTTTAACAAAATATTAATTGTGTTTAAAAGTTGTTTAATAGTTGATTTCATCAAATCAATTTTCAAGAGAAGTTTTTCTACAACAAGAAGTGGCTTTCAAATCCCATTGGAATCATCTCTACTGTTCTTTTTTTCTACAACAAGAAGTGGCTTTCAAATCCCATTGGAATCATCTCTACTGTTCTTCTTGTTTGAGAAATCTTCTAAACTCTTATATAGCTTATTATTTTATTTTCATTTCTTTTAACTATATTTATTGAGTTTCACTCACTGTTATCACACACACTTATTGAGCTTAATTTTTTCATACCATATAGTGTGGGTTATGGAGTGTGATTTAGTAAGTGTGAGCTTCATTGTGTTCTCTCTTGTTATTTGAGAACAAATCATTGTATTTAACTTTTATTAGTGAGAATCACTTGCAATACACTTGTACACCGAGAGAAGTGTGAGGCGAGACACGGGGTCGAATCCAATAGGAGTGGCGTCGATTGACGAACCTAGGAGAGGTAGTAATCGAGCACTTGAGGAGGGAGGACACGGGGTAGGTTCCTACACTTAGTGTGTAAAGTGTGATTGCATAGTGTTTGTGTAGTGTGAGAGTTTTCGGTGATCTTGTAAACCGAGTGTGTAGAAGTTCCGGCTTCCAAACCGGATTGTGATAGTGGATATCTCCTCGAGGTGAGGAGCGGGGACGTAGGTCGTGGTGACCGAACCTCGTAAACATATCGTGTGTTTGTGTTTTGCTTAGCGTGTATTTTATTCATCATTTTTATTCATATACATATCATATTTCTTCTTGCAAGATAAAATTGATCAACATAATTTTAATTAGCTTTTAATTGGGATTAGAATATATATATATATAATTGTTGCATTCTTTCTTGAAGATGACAATATTATAATATTTGGATCGTATTCTGCTATCTTTGAATTTCTCATGCAAAATTTATAATTCGTTATTTCTGAGAATTATGCTTATTACTATTTTGTTAGTTATCTAGGAACTCTAGTGAGAAATGTTCTCACTGAGCGTTAGCTTACCCCGTTGTTTTTAAATTTCAGATCCGACGCAGCTTCATACTAGCCGAACTTTTGGTTAGGGCTTTTGGCTGAAAAGCGTTATATGGAGAGCCTCTTGTTTTTGATGTTACCTTCAGCACAATTTGTTTTGTTTTTTTTAAATGCTTATACCGGTAAGCTTATGGGCTGTAAGTACCAATCATATATATAGTTGCTCTGACTTCTATCATCAGCAGGTTTATGAACATTTTGAATAAACTATGTGATATGAAGTGTCAGGCTTGACCCGTGTATAAGAATTGTCTCGTGCACGGGTCGCTGCTGTCGCGCACCCTGTATTTTATGAATTTTCGCTGTAGTTTCGGGACGTGACAACCCTTTGCTTTATATTATTACTATCTCACTTATTACCATCTCACCTCTCTCCTCCTACTCCTCAGCTATTAAAGCTATTCTAGACTTTTTTTTAAAGCGTTTTCAATGCCATTAGGGTAATTTACTGATCATATGAGTTATTTTTTCTCGTATTTAAAAGTTCGTGGTGTTTTTCTCTAATAAAGATTGTTCATGATATTTTTGCGCAAAAGCCTAACAATTCATGTAAGTTTGCGAATTTTACACAATAAAGATTAAAGAATGTGCTATCATGCAGAACGAATGGAGAACACTCGAAGTGCAAAATCAATTTTACTGAAACTCTGTAAATCTATAAACTACTGAACCTAGCATTATACCACAGATAACTTCAGAAAATTATACAAGAAAAACATGAAAGCAACATGGACCAGCTTTATGTTACAGTAAATATAAACATTTGTACCTCTAAGTCAATCAACAGCATAAAGCTATGATCAATCCACCAGACACGGAAAAATCGACAATCAGGTTTTCTCTGCAGGAGTAAGATTGCCCATCTTCTCAGTAAGGTGATCAAGATTTTTCCGGTTCCACCAAACGCCCTCAACTCTTTTATCCTCAGCTTCTCTTCTCTCAGACTGAACCTCCTGTGTATCACCAGAACCTGGGGTTTCAGTAAGAAACTGCTCCCAGAAAACATCGTTTACGCCAGTGGTCACTTTAGGTTGAGTCTCAGGAGCAGCAGGCTCAGAGTTCACATCAATCTCAGAAACCTTATTGGGTACTTCAGTGTGCATATGATTTGTAGATTCTGTAAGATCTGGGGATGAATGGATATCTCCAATGCAGGGTGAAGAGATTGGAGATGGTGATCGAAGATTTGCATCGGTTTCCCCTGATGATGCATTTAACTCTGTAATAACAACAGCAGAGGGTGCACAAGGAACAGTAGTATTATCATAGTACATTTCTCCTCCAGAAGCTTGACTCACTTCACGAAAAAAGTTCTCCAAAGAGTTCAAAGATGATTCCATCTTTTCAAATGCTTCAGTATCGAGCATATGCATGTCTCTGCTTGTAGTCCTATTCTCATCCACATCAGCATCGTCATAGAACAAATTCCCTTTCGGCAGTCTCCTCTTCTTGCTGTGGAGATCAGAGGGCAATATGAGATTAGAGAGAAAACCAGGCCTTTGTATATAACTGTTCAAATTCGCCATCATGTTTTTTTGGCGAAGCTCTATGTTGAGCAATCTTTCCTCTAAAGACTGCATCAGGTTCTCCATCCCATGCTGTTGTTGTATGTGTTTTTGTAGCTCGGCAGTGAGTATGGCTTTTTCGCGTTGTAGCCTTGTGATTTCCTCCTCGAGCTCTTGTCTCTCGGATTCTCCTAAAGGCCCTGAGCCTTGACCCTGGTGCTGTAGTGAATGGCTGTGGACTGGCTTGCGCCTATGGATATTTTTCAGGAGATGTCTTTGGCCTCTTACGAACTCGTCGTTAGCAAACTCCCATCGGTCAGGATCTATTTTTTTAAATCCCTGGAAACAAAGAGAAGAACATGAATGATCACACAATAGTGGGAATACTACTGAAATAGATTACCTAATTAATTAATAACGATCTCTAGCCTTATGAGAAAAGAACTCGTTAGCTTTATCAGATGATGAAACTATGATATAAAGTTCTTGTGATCTATGTTTATCTGGTCGGGAGTAAACAATTACATTGTATTGGGTAGCATGTTTATACGGCGTTGCAGGTATAACGTAACAAAGAAATTCTTTCTTGATCAGATTCCTCTACTTACCCAATATAGTGAGGAAACAGAAATAGCAGATATGACCTAAACCTCACAGACATGCCTCAAAAGATAGGATATATCACACAAATTGTCATGAAGGTCCTAATTGTGATATCTTCCTTGTTCTGGATATCCTTCCATCTTTCATTCCATATTTCTGCATCGTAAAAGACGATACAACTCAACCTTGACACTACAATTGATTATCATTTGCTCTAACTCAACCTACAGTCGGACGCCTTTTTCTCCAATTTAGAACGAGCATGTAAAGTGTCTGGATATATTGTAAGTTCTCCTTAAAAGTTCTTCCTTAGAAATCCTAACTGTAAGTTCTTCCTTATAAGTCTGAAAGAAATTATCCCTGTATTATTATTAACACGGTCAATTTCCCCTTCTTATAACCAACACAATGGATTGTAGAAGGATCAGAAGTCTACGTTGTACCAAACAACACTAATAAACTGGAACAAGACAACAGACAGCAACGAATAGAATTATAAATTCCCCAAAGGACAGCAATAAAGCTGAATCTGAAAGAGAAACAGAAAAAGGACCTTCTTTAGTGAGAATAGTAATCACTATGGTATCCTTAGAAGATCCAGAAAACATCAAAACAAGAATTAGAGTCATCAACTGTGCTTATGAAATTTTCAATGACAAGCAATATCGCCTCATCCTGATATAAGTCCTATACCTTTTTCAGTTTTTCCTGGTCTACAGAAATTGTGGTTCCCCCTTGGTCCATGAAATAGATATGTTTAGATGTTGTTAGTTAATTAGATAATTCTAAATTTCAGTAGTTTGATAAGTTTTCTTCAAATTATAGTTTCAAATTAAGTAGAATTAGATGTTTATTATCCCGTGATTTAAATATTTCCCAGCTATTCCATAATTCAAAAAACAACATAGAAATAAATATTCAAGAACAGCTAAATAAGATTTGCAATTAATATTACAATCTATAAACTGATTATGCTTAACAAAAAGTTTACTGTTAAATGCAAGATGCCAACATTTCAATTGAGTCACTGACACATTGGTCACACAGCAAAACCCACTAAGTACACTGACCTCAACAATATTAGCATCTACAACTAAACCCAAAGACATGGGTACAGATGTGTGCAGTTTTTTTTACAAGACATAAATGTTCAATAATCTTAACCAATGTCGAGGAAAGCCATATTTATCTGACCCTAGGCAATACCCATCAACAAAGAATACAATAAGATGGTATGCAGGATAAAATCAATTGGGAACATCTCAATCTGTACGAGAACCCTTTGCCTTTGCTCCAAGGATTTCAGTATGGTCCAACTCGCAATATAAGATCCAAGCACCAACCAATCATCAATACATTCTTCTGAAGGATTGAGAACTCAGTTTGTCTTTCAATCCCCTTCTACAACTTTTTGTTTCAGTTACTTTAAGCAGTCCCATCAGTTCCCGTGTGGGATTCATCATTCTTGTTAAATAAAGTAAATAAGTTTCTAAAGGACAAGTTACAGAGTAGAACACAATTAACAAATAGCCATTGGCTTCATTTATACTAAAAAAATACCCAGATCAACTAATCTATGCTTATTCTATGTGGCACAACCAACAAATTCATGCACGTAAAGTTCTAGTTTCAATATGACTGAGAACATATGTGCAAAAGGATGTAGAATTGAGGTGTTTATAAAAGGCATAAAAAAGTTACCAAGTCAGGCCCTGTCCTGCTTAATACAAAGTTCAGATTTAACCTTACTATTCCCAGAAGTTAAGTGAATTGCAGTGTGTTGTGCAGACAAATAACTGAGCTGCTGCATGTAGACACAGAAGTACGATACAGGTAGTTTCTTCCCTTCTCTTTCCTCTTTTGTCTTCTTTGACTTTCTGGGTTAGGCAGTGGGTAGATCTAGACTTTTCTTTTCTTTTATTTTAAAATTTAATTTTGAACTTTTATCCATAAATTTTGTTGTTCGAAGCAAATTATGGGGAGGGAATTATGGTCTGATTATTATACTTTTGCATGATTTTTTGATAATATTGGCTGAACCAGTTTTAGGCATTGTTTTAGGTACCCTTACTTCGAGACTTGTACACAGAATAGGAATTATGGTCTGATTATTATACTTTTGCATGATTTTTGATAATATTGGCTGAACCAGTTTTAGGCATTGTTTTAGGTACCCTTACTTCGAGACTTGTACACAGAATAGCTGTTAACGACACATTATTGTTAAAACCACTTTTGTTGGTTCTTTGCTACCAGTAAAAGGAGAAAAGAAAGACAAACAAAAAGAGGAGAGAGATTGGAGACCACAAGAAAAACAAATAGAAAAGAAGAAAGAAGCATGTGCTGTACACTGAATATACCCTGAATATACTATATAGGTTAGGCGGAGAAATCTAGGAAACTAATAGTGAAATACATAACTGAATAACATAGAAATATGGGTGCTACTCTGTTTGCTGTTAAAATTTTGCCAAAAACATAACTAGAACGGATTGAAACATGAACCCAAAAATGAAGGATTCCACCACTACTAGAAAAGATAGAAACAGTTTGCTATTTTGTTGACAGTCAAAATCTACCAAAGTTCTAAGCAGATTGAAAACTATACCCAAAAATGAAGGATTCCACTACAATACAGAGATGATATCTATCGAAGATACCCAAAATAAAAGAGAACTGCTACAACAACAACAACAAAGAAACTTTCATTGCAAGATATGAGCCCTTCTTAGTTAAGTTAGCAACTATAGCCTTCTAAATTGCCTCCATCCATGTCTGCTTAAACCAACTTTTGTTGTCCTCATTCCAGTTACTATGATCCTAACACTTCTAACTAACATAGTTGTCAATATAAAAAAGACCCACATGCTAAATGTCTATTACTCATCACCCATTTTTGGGTGTGCATTAACATTCACTTCACATTAATTTTTTTTTTTTACAACATATAAATTATTAATATACTTATAAGTTCAAAAAATTTATGGCATATGTAATAATTATTTAAATGTTTCTTAAGAAAGTTATTAGTTAAATATAAGCTATGGTCCAATGGTAAAATAGGAGATAGGATAAAGGGAGGTTCCAGACAAAAAGACAAAGACATTTGCTCCAAAAAAAATTTATTTAGTTTCTAATGTTCTATTTTTTTCTTATTTATATTTCCTTTCTAATGTTCTATTTTTCTTGCTTATATTTTTTTAGAGTTTACTTTGGAAATATTGTTTTTGGCCACTAGAGCCCCTGAAATCTCAAACCAAGCCCTACCCTCCAGCCTCTTACTTGCTTTGACTTTTTATAACATTAGGCAAGTTATCAACCTTTGTTGTGCATGCTAAACAATTTCATCGGATTCCCCTTGTTTTATCCTCAATTGAAGCAATCACTAACTTGTTTCAAATGCACCATCTCTTACATTATCTTTTAGCATGTTGCCAGTAATCAACCCAGAAGTTCTAAATTTTGCTCTATTTAACTTTGTGTACATGTACCTTAACCTAGCTTACCTGGACAATTCATCTAGGCTCCCGTATTCATGTCTGACACTCCTTGAACACTTTTCTAGAATATATACACATATTTATTCAGACATGTACTCAATTATATAATACATGTTTAGTTTATAACGCTTGTGATACACTTCAAGGACATATATCTTACACTTCAACTCAAATTTATGCAACTCATTGGACATGGGTCGGGTTTGTTACAGCCCATACCCAAATTATAAGTATGATTAAAAACGAGCGATTTTCAATTTATAATCTATTAAAATAATAGAAACATAAAAATGTTATAGGGATTTCAATTCTCATAGCATGTGAATGAAAAAACAATATTAGTTTTATATAAATTATAAATTTCATGTACATATATAGTCGTGTCCTCATATCATATCTTTTACAAATTTTCGATGTCCCATATCCGCACCTATGTCACTATTCGACACTCGTACCCGTACCCATGCAACATAGGTCTTAACTAACCAACATTTATATTCAAATCATTTTTGGCCATAAAACATCCTAATAAAATGTTCCCTTCAATATCTCAAGCATTTGATAAGCACACAATAGTCATGAGGCAACTCTACTATAAGCATCTCATTTAATTCTATGAACCATATCCTCCTCAATATCACCATTACGGCGAATGATTGATCCAATGTAAAGAATATGGCTGCATGGTGATATTTCTTGACTATCAATCTTTTATATGTGCATTTTGTCTCACATTTCACCAAAGGTATCATTTGTGTATCAATCCTAAATATATTGGATTATAGAAGTCTATCTCTACCTACCAATCAACTCTGGGAATCATCTCTTTTCATAAGCAAATAAAGATCCAATAAAGACAACCAATAAAAATATAAAGGGATAACCTTCATCTCGATCTTAAGCATATGTTTATATAAAAAGGTTTCATCACCCTCATATTGCTCAAACCTTATTACCTACTAATTATGAACATGAGATGTAAACAACCCTGATCTAATATTCTTATATACTCACTATTATAATAGTGAATTATTTTGGTTCTTGATCAATACAATGTTGCTTGCTAGTTTGATGGAAAGACGGGAAAAGTAAACTAGACTAAGTTTCCTAAGTGCCTATTTTGGCTATATACCAATTCAAGAAACCTATGAATTAGATTAAGGTTTCCTTACTTCCCCATTACGTTTAAGCAATAAACTAAGTTCCTCTCAATAAAAACCCAAATGGAAAAATTGGTCTGCTTAATTAACGTTTTCAAAAGTAAAAAATCATTTCAAATTACCCAAATATATCAAAAATCTACCATTAAAATATCCAATACCCAATTAATCTAGCAATATGAGCTCTTACATAGGTATTTAGCTGCCGAATGAAACTGGAGAAATTATTGTGCTTGAAGTATTTGGGTAGCAAATCCCTCTCAAAATCTGGTTGGTTCCAGAAAACAAAGCTATTATTAGAAGAGCTCCAAGAGACGATGGAGTCCGTCAAAGGATCATCCACCATAATGTACGTCTTTGTGAGAAACGCCGGCAGAGATTTCGAGCCCCTATGAGATGAACCAGCCATCTATATTTGATCTAAGAAGCCATCAATTCATCTTCCTATTGCTATCAAAAGCCCAAAAAACCCTAATTTTTTATGGAAGGGAGGGTGTTGGGTGATTTTTTCGATAGGAGTTTTGGGGAATTTCGCTGGGATTAACTTTTGAGGGGTTGTGCAAATTTCCAAAAGAGTAAGGCGACGAGAACGAGAATGGTGAGGTTGGGTTTGACTCATATTCTTTCCTTTCTTGTCTTTTCTTTTCTTTTCTTTTCTTTATATCAGCCAACTGATTTTCTCAAAGAAGATGCACTTCCCTATCTACTTTTGTTGCGTACGTTACAAAAAGTTGTACTTCTAATAATGATTATTACTATAGTAATAATAGATTAGAGTGAGATTGCATATATACGAAAAAGAGTGTCAATGATTAACTATAGTAATAATTGATTAGAGACGAGATAATAAGATAATAGTTAATGGAATGATGATGATAGGCGTAAGCACAGAAGGATATGCTTATAAACAATTAAGAAGTATATGACAATGACTAATTCAATACAGTAAATATACTCTTTAGCAAAAGTGAATGGAAGAATGGGATTTGTGTAGCTGATTCCAAAGTGTTAGGATAAAACTTCTATTTTTGTTGTTGTTTTTGTTGTCATTGTGCTGAGTATAATACAATATAATTCTCAGTTTAATACATAAATAATCAATGTTTTAAATGTCAATCGACATGTCGGATTGGGAAGGCTAGCGACTCAACATTAGGATTTCAAAGTCATGTCATTTTTCGAGCTCATATCGGACATGTCGAGCGCCGTTGCAGACGTTGCGGCTGATATTTGAGGTTTAAAAGTCAGGCAATATCAAGTTATATGTGTTTGGGTTTTTTTAAGTATTTGGGTTTGGGTTTATTACCCAAATCCCAATCCCGATGATGTTCTCTTTTGTTCGCGATTGCTAGCTAGGGCAAATATAACCTGATAGCAACTTATGGCAAGAAAAAACACCGCTCTCCTTTTCTCTCATATCTTCAACATCGCACCTCTAAAACCCCTGTCATTTAGTTAGGAATGCTTAGATTTTATTTAAGACATGACATTATACATATGCGCATCACCCGAAATGGCAATCCGACATTTAGTACATGTCTCCCGATATACCCCCGATTTCTGCTATTTGACAAGGATTTTAGCCGTCCGACATTATGAACCCGACATCCGACATTCAAAACTTGTAAATACTAAGTCTGATCTGTTCTTCAAAACTCTAGCTTACTTACTAATTATCATAATGACTTATTTTTTGTTACAAATCAATGCAATATGTTACTGCTATTTTGATCAGAGTCCAACATAAGAAACATAAACTAGATTAAGCTTTCCTAAGAAGCTATTTTGCTTATAAATCAATACATTGTAGTCTATCTACTAACCAACTTTAGAGTTACTCACCATAGTAAAAACCCAAATGGATAATTGGGTCTGCTCAATTAATATCGTCAATAACTACGACTCAAATATATCGAACTGAACACAACCAAATTAAGCAAGAAGAGGTCTTACATAGGTATTTAGCTGGCGAACGAAACTTGAGAAATTATTGTGCTTGAAATATTTTGGCAGCAAATCCCTCGCAAAATCCGGCGGGTTCCAAACAACAAAACTATTATTTGCAGGGCTCCAAGAGACGATCGAATCCGTCGACGGATCATCAACCATATCGTAGGTCTTCGTTAGAAATGGCGGCGGAGAATTCGATCCCCCGTGAGATGAACTATCCATTTTCTGCTCTGCTCGATCGAAGGAAGTCAAAACCCTAATTCAACTCCCTTCTCGTCGTCAAAACCCTAGCTTTTTTCGATGGGGGAGAGGGATGATCTTTAGCTGGGATTGGGATTAAGGGGTTGTCGAAATTTCTAGAAGAGGAAGGAGCAGAAAAACAGAAGAAAGGTCAGGTTTTCGGGTTTGACTCTTTTTACTTTTTTTTTCTTTTTTTAACCTTTCTTTTATTTATCCTCCTCTTTTCTTTTCTTTTCTTCTCTTTTCTTTTCTTTATATGCTAGTGTGAACATCGTGCAAAACATGGTATATTTTTTTTTCCTCTACAGTTATCCTGATTTTAAATACTACAATATTTTTTGAATTTTTTTGAATTGTTATAGTATCATGCTCTGTTACAATATTTTTTTTACCTTTCTTTTCTTTTTTTCCTCTTCTTTTCTTTTCTTTTCTTCTCTTTTCTTTTCTTTATACATTTGATCACCTGATCCCTTCAGAGAAACTGCCGCGCTTTCTCTCTCTCTACTTTCTATTGCGTACGTTACAAAAAGCGTATTTCTATGATGATGGCTAACAATAATCCACCAGATCCTAATTTCTTTTTTAGTTTCACGTTGGGCCTCAAGTGTTTTTTCTATATTTTACTGACATCCTTAAACCTGTTAATTTGTTTTACAAAACACCCATAATTAGATTTAACTATTATCTAGTCAACCTTTTTGTGGTTACTCGTAATGACTTCTAAAACAATGATAAATTGGGAGGTGTAAATTAGAAATACCAATATTTGCGGTTCCAGTATAGAAGTAAGACAGAGGTAGGGTCTAGCACGATAAAAACTCATAGTAATAGTTTATTAAGGTGAGAGTGAATGTACACATAAAATACTGTTAGTATAATACTGAAATGCATGAAAAACAATAAGGTCATGTTTAAAGGAACAATGAGGATTAGACAAAAGCATAAAAAGACATGTTTTTGTGAGCAATTAAAAAAATATATTGATGTATATGGCTTATCATTCTTTACAAAATTAAATGGATAAATGATATTCGTGTAGCTGATTTAAATTTTTTATACAAGTTTTGTTACTGTTGTTTTATGGCAGGTGTCTGAATATAATTAAATACATTATAAAAATATAAAAGGAAATTTCTTTACAAATTTGATGCCCAATCTGTATTCAAAATCCATCTACATAAAATATTCAATTTCCAAAATAAAGTTTATCTTTCTCTATTTTCTTAGATTCTACGTAAAATAACTGATTCCTTTGTTCCATTGTCATCATATATTTCTCTCTTACATTTAAAAAAGGGAAAATTGTTTCTGGGCCTCCGAAATTACCCTTCCCCTCTTCTTCTTCTTCTTCTCCTCCGCCTCCTCTCCCCTCTCTTCTTCTTCTTCTCCTCCGCCTCCTCTCCCCTCTCTCTTCTCTCCTCATCTCCGCTAACTGCTCCTCTCCCTTCTCTCTTCTCTCCTCTCCTCCTCTTCTTCTTCTCCAGACCCTAGCCCACACCCCCCCCACCCCTCCTCCCTCCCCCCTCCTTGCAATATTTACAGTTTGAAGAGAGGAGGATATTGATTCGGGGGTTTTCCTTGGGGTTGGTGTTCAGAGCCATTGCTAGGCAAATTGACAAGTATTTTTATCCTTTAAACTCTTTTACTGATCGCCTTATTCTTCCTAATCGGCAAGCATCTCATATCCAACTCTTTATTTTTTATGATCGCATTATTTTTCCATAATCGACATGTTCATCTCCTTGTTTACAAATTCCATAAATTTCTTTCTTCTGAATCTATTTATTTGTTGTGTCTTTTGTGATTTCGATTTGATTGCATTATGTGCTGGTTTATAGTCCGAAGGAGTGTGTGCTTGTTGACGACTTGACGGTTGATTCAAATTTCGGGGTGTTAGCACAGTTGGGGGAGAATTTACATATTGGTCTATGATTCTTATTTCTCTAAGTATTCGAAATCTGAATGATGATAGTTCGAGAGTTGTCAGGACTTCATATAAATTTGATTCCTCAAGTGACAAGTAGTGCGTGTAATCTATGTCCAGTTACTTCCTTAGGGGATTTTGCTTTTCTCTCATGTCCTGTTTTAGTATTTTATATTGCTTGATGAGCCTTCCATGTTAGTGAGGATGAATCAGAATCTTTTGCTGGAATGTCCGTTGATCCTAATTCAACATGCCCTTGATTAAAGACTATATGAGGGCATAGAATATGCATTGTATTTGCTTTATTTTTTCTGCAAGATAAATAGAAATTATCATTGCTGGTGTCTAAAATGTGAAAGGTAAATGGAAATGTCATGGGTTTTTTTTCCTTTCGAATAATATGCTACACTCACTGCCAGAGACTTCCTAGTGTCCATCAAATAGTCAATAAAGTAGATAAAGAAAAATCTCCAAGTGACAGCTTCACCTATGTCGGAGTTTGAGCGTGCGAATCTCATTTCATGGGCAAGACATCTTGCTCATTTTGAAGTTCTGCATAAGATAATATTCTTATGATTTTCTCTGTAATATTCACACATCCATTTTTTTGGTACTCAAGATGGGCTTGATCGATAGGATAGCCAACTGGCAGCTACTGTGGATGGTAAATTAAAAGCATCCTAACATCACCAATACTTTCTTCTATTTTTCTTCTTTTCTAGTTGGAATATCATGTACAAGCCTGTCGATTGCCTTTTCTGTCTCAACCTTTAACAGGGCAAGAACAAGGAGCTGATCTAGGGGCTAGTAGAGTGTCACATGTGGCTGGAGGTGATTCGATGAGATTGATGCTAAATTGCTAATGTTTAACAATTTTTCTATTTTGATTTATTACTTGGAATTGCTAGCTGTTTGACTACTTTTTCTTTATCTAAACAGACCAAGAACAAAGTGATCGTTGGGTTAGTAAAGCATTAATCACAGCTGGAGGTGACTCAGTATTCTAATATATCCATCATATATTGCTATTTCTTTTTAACATGGTTGAGCAAATGCATGAATTCTATCAAATTGATTGGAAGGAACTTGGTAGTTTCATCTAAAGAGAAGGATGACGAGGATTGTGAATATGAGATGATTTGGGATGCAGAGGGATATTGGCTCGATTTGGGAAGATATTCGATTGGTCTTTGAAGCCCAAACTAATGGGAATTGCTTGCACACAAGGTGTTTGATATAATATCTCGGTGAGAAGGAATGGTTTTATTGGAAAGAATGGTTCAATCTCAAACGTGTGTTATAATTTTTATGGTTGTGGAATGTCGAAGCATCCTCCAGTGGTTCAATCTCAAACGTGTGTTATAATTTTTATGGTTGTGGAATGTCGAAGCATCCTCCAGTGACTACTACTCAATTCTAAGATTGTTGTACTGATGATCCTTATGTTGCATCCAGAATTGCTTGTAACGTGTTATGTTTCATTGTTTAGTTGATTATACTATGTGTTCTTATGGTTTGGTTGTACTTAGATCAAAATTTAATAAAATGTATTGTGTCTATTTAGTAATCAATTTTGGTGTAATTTGTAACGATTGTATGTGAAATGTATTGTGGCTGTCATGTGAATATGTACAACTTCATTCAAATAGAACTTGATGTGCATAATAAACTGAAGATTATATATAAATTATGTTTATCAAAACCTGAATATTATGATACATAATATGTACATAATCTTGAGGTTATTGTGTACATAATATATACAAATCATGTATATAATCTTCAAGTTACAATACACTATTAAATCTCATTATATGTTAACTTTCTTCATAAATTATGTTAACTTTCATCATTATATGTTAACTCTCATCGTAACATGTTAACTTTCAGCTGAACATGTTAACGTTCATCATAATATGTTAACTTTCACTGTTACATGTTAACTTTCATAATAACATGTTAACTTTTTTCATAAATCATATTAACTTTCATCATTATATGTTAGTCTCCTCGTAACATGTTAACTTTCAGTTGAACATGTTAAATTTCAGCATAATATGTTAACATTCACTATTACATGTTAACTTTCACCATAATATGTTAACTTTTAACTGAATATGTTAACATTCATCATAACATGTTAACTTTCAAACATGTTAATGTTCACTATAATAAAATTTTTACATTCTTACAGCTGATATTGCTTGAATAAACGATATGATTAGCCTTACAATCTTAGATATTATAAAAAATATAATACAATGTGCTACAAAAGTCTTGACAACCTACATTGCTTTACCAAAAGTATTGTACTAATAAGCAATCCACACCAATCACTAATTACATTCATAGCTTTTTTTTAAACGTTTCTATGAAAATAAAGCAGTGAAAGTTAACAGGTTTGGATGAAAGTTAACATAAAGCAGCAAAAGTTAACATTCAATATGAAAAGTTAACATACTAGGATGAAAGTTAACACGTTCTGCTAAAAGTCAACATAGAACTTTATAGTTAACATTTTCCCCTTTCTTTCTCCTGTTTTTATTTTTTCCCTTTTGTTTTTCTGCTAGTTTTTCTACCAAAGATATACAAGAACTCAATAATCTTATCATGTAACTATTATAGCTTCAATTTAATATATTATGATGAAAGTTAACATGTAATAGTAAATGTTAACATATTATGATGAAAGTTAACATGTTCAGCTGAAAGTTAACATGTTATGATAAACGTTAACATGGTTAGTTGAAACTTAACGTGTTATGAGTACACACTTCATGCAAATCAGTGCTAGGTTTTGTCAAATTTCCAACTTGAAAGTGTCATTTGGACTAGCAACACAGAGATGACCCATCATTATTTGAAATAATGCAATTAGTGTCTCTACCACAGTCCATTAACGAAAATATGTGACAAGAATCTATTTAATTTTTAATGTCAACGAGACCATGAAACAAGAAATCAACAAGAACTAGACATCCACATTTATTAAATTTGAGTTTGAAAGTACCATTTGGACTAATATCACCTATGTCATCAGTGTAACAAATAAACAATGTTTTCCACCTCCTCATATGTACCATTTGGACTAATATCACCTATGTCATCAGTGTAACAAATAAACAATGTTTTCCACCTCCTCATATGTGACCAACACATATACACTAGCAAATAATAATAGTCAAACGGAACATATACATAAATTCTAGGACATTATAAAAACAGACCTATCCTCTTCTTCCTTCAATGAATGTATCATCTCGGCAAGTTGGCTCATAGTTGGTCGAGCATCGGCAGATTTGTATATGCACTTCAATGCAATCTGAAGAAGCTTCACCATTCTATCTTCAGGCACTCCTTCATAGAGCATTCCATTATCAAAAACTTCAACTGTCTATTCCTCTCTCACCACAGAATGCACTCACTAAGACAAATCAAAACTATTATTCTGAACAACTAATCATCTCTGGGTTTTCACCTGCATAGATTTTTTTCATCAGTCTCAAATCTTGTTTAATTCCATCAAATTATAACACACGCCTGAGATTGAGCCATTCTCTCCAATAAAACCATTTCTTCTCACCAATGCATTATATCAAACACCTTGTGTGCAAGAAATCTCACCAAGCATCTGCTTGCAAGAAATCAAGACAAAGAACAGTTCCACATCAACACATCAAATCCTCAATACGTTGACATAATTCAACATCAAAACACTCAATTTAATCACAAATTGAACATGGAAGCCCAAAATCCAATACAATGAACTTAAAAACTCAATCAAATTAAAAAACTCCAACTCAAGCTCAATTAATAAAGATTGTACCTTGTGTGCAAGCAATCCCCATCAGGTTGGGTTTCAAAGACTAATCGAAGGTCCTCCCAAATCGATTAAGCATAGGGATATTGACGGAGGAGGCGGAGGAGGTCGAGGACGGGGCCCGTGGAGGGGGGTAGGGAGGACGGGTGGGGGGTGTGGGCAAGGTTCTGGAGAAGAAGAAGAAGAAGAGAGGGGAGAGGAGGCAGAGGAGAAGAAGAAGAAGAAGAGGGGAAGGGTAATTTCGGAAAAAAAATTCTGGGAGAGTGTGAAAGGGCTGAAACATAAGGGAAAAACAAGAGGGGGCTGTGGCACATCTCTTTTATTTTTTTGGGGCCCAGAAACATTTTTCCCTTTAAAAAATGATGAGCACAATTTTTAGGCCTATGCCACCACCACAAAAAGCAACATGGAAAAATAAAATATGTGTCGTGCAATAGTCAACTACATTGGCATGACATTTATCAAATCCGTACTAATTATAAAGTAAACCACGAGGGTAGTCAACAAAGCAAGGGAAAGGAAATGATGTTCAACCAATAAGGGCAAAACGATAATTCAATTCCTCTTAACGATGCAAAATGCCTTTTCACTCCATCCCATCCCCACTACAAGCTCTCATGTTAATAGTTACTAACATTAAGGAATTAGATTTTTAACCCCAAATGTGGTAATTATTTGAATTGTTTATCTAAAACAGGGTAATCTAGGTTTGATAACAAATTATGAAAGTGAGTTCTTCATGAACAAAAGGAAATCGAAGAAGACCCATCGGGAAGTGACAGTCTCCATGTCACGCCCCGTGTTTCGGCTATGAATACGGACACGAGACTCGGCCAATAGCATGCACATAAGAACCAGGTCAAATGGGTCCTCATGTGCATACTTAAACCTCATCTATCTAAACCGTTACAATACAAGGATAAAATAGTAATTATGCAGCCGAGGTGTGCAAAATTGACAAAAGTCAACTCCTAATCAAACTACCTCTAATCAGGATTCACTATATCTACAACTTAACATGGTGGGATTTCTAGGCTAAAAACTTATCTCAATGGTAAAACCATAAAAGCTACTGCTCACCAACTATCTAGAGGGTAAAATTGTCCAACCACACAATCTGATTCCTAACTGATTTCTCTCATGCAAATCTAGGGGTTGTCAGGCAAGTGACCCGAATCAAGCATTGAGGGAGAAAAGAAACAAAAACAGATAAAGATAGAGGGTATCCCGAAGGGTACACTCACAAAGATCTAACATTGATAACACATGAGGAAAGACAAACCAAATAGTGGAAGGAAATACATATGTCCAAGATGTTAAAACATTGAAAAACAGTATAAAAATAGCACATCGCAAAAGCAGTACAAAACTAAAATTAAACATGCATGTCTACTGGTTGTTACTATCTGAAACTACTCATGCAAAACAACTCATTTGAATCACAATCAGATAGAATTCATGTCGCATACCACTTTCTCAATTCAATAAAGATTCTTATAATTAGCATCTTAATTGGAAAACCTTCATTGAGGATATGTTCAAGTCATGTGGGATCTGAAGGTTTTTGGTGGTGACCAAACCCACCTATACAAACCGACAAGTCTAACAAGCACGACCATGGCCCCACATATCTCCGAAGTTTTAGTCCCTCAGAATTAAACCAATCAGATTAATATTTCTTAGTTTGTTGTACATGAAATATTATGCACTAGTCCCGAGAATCTTTGCTCATAGAAAACATACTTTCATGACACTTGAAACCCCTCTACAAGATATCTACACAGTGTTCAGTTAGAGTGTCATCTGTGTCTGGGAGCTCAAAGAAGTTGAAATGTTGAATGATGAATTCAAACATATTATCTCTTCTCATAACTCATGTAAATAAGAAATTCCAAATGAAATTTGATATTCATGAGGAGATACCACTGATATATCACAAGGTCAAACTAATTCAATATCTAAACAAGATCAAATAAAAAAAATTCTTTGAACGAGTATAATAACTAGTAATATCCCATATGGGCAATATGATAACACAAAGTAGGCCTCGATTCATACACAAGTGAGCCAAAAGTTATGGTTCAATATAATCCGCTCAAAATCCTTAATATACAGGTTTTATCCTTCATGTACAACAAGATCAGAGACAATTGCCTAAAATCATCTAAGTCTATGGTAACAACTATCTCAACATATACTTAGCATCACAACACATATACGAAACCTCAAAAAACATGATTCAGACATACGAAATGCAAATACGCATGTTTTCGGAGAATTAGTTTTTGGAGGATTTCAAAAAATCTCCAAAACTTTACAAAACATCAAACTATATGCAAATACCCATTTTTATGGGTAATCTTCACTTTAAGGGAGCTAAAGAAGAAAAAAAAGTGAAACTAAAAGTTGAATCTCAAAATATGTGCCTAGTTAGAATTTGGCAATTTGCAGGTTGAGTGCCTGCTCTTTGTGGTTGAACGTGTGTGCTCAATGACATGCCACATCAGATAAGTGGCAAATTAGTCTTCTTGAACTGGGTTGCTGCTCGATCGAGCGCATGCGCTTGGTAGAGTGAGCACGTGCGCTCGACCTAGAAAACTATAACTTTTCTATAATTTATTAAATTCTACTATCACATACTCCATCAAACCTCATTTTGAGAATAACACATTTGTTAGATTCATAGCAGAAATTATTTGCAACTAGTTTGAGTTCATTTCATCAAGAATCTAAAGAGAAATCCAAACATCCAAAATTTTGGTATTATTCAAAGTATAGGTTTTTATAAGGAAACTAGCTAGATCTAAGCAAATCCATGGATCAAAATATGCATTGAAAGCTAAAATATTATTTAAACAAATACCCTAAATTGCTAATCTGACAAGAAAAGGTAGAGATGATTGTCTCGAGAGATATCGGTTGCAAAACTCGAGTTTTCATCATCAATCAAAAAACTTTCACCTTTATCTATCATAAACAAAACTAGATGAAAACTAATGTTTGAGATTGTAAATGAAATGAATTGAGAATGAAAACACTTAGTTTGGATCAGATTTATGGCATTGAACTCGGTTCTAGGATGATCTCCAACCTCTTACTTCTCCCACTTCATCAAATCTTTATTCTCTCTCAACCTTCACTTCTCAAAATCCTAGTTAAGATTTGAAGTGAGAGGGCTCATCAGGATTTGGAGTGAGGGGGCCAAAAGGTCTTGTCTAGCATAGATACAGAGTAGTTAGTTTCGGGACTTCCGGTCAAAACAATCAACAGTATCGGTATCCGAATAAATAAGGGATATGCAGTTGGTGGGCGATACTGGTGGTGGAAGAAGCTGTTACATGCCTACTAATGGGTAATGACCTGGTAGACATAATATTTACAGAACCAAAAATATAAAGTGTTCTATAAATACCTTGTAACATGTTTTGTTATATGCATGTGTAAGGACCGTAAATTTTGATACTAGTTAAAATAATTTTTTAGTATTTTAAAATATTTAATTATGATTTTTAAAAGAGTATTTATATTTTTCTTGAATTTCAACAATTTTCTATGATTTAAAGTCTAAGTTTTATATTTATTTAAATGATTTAAATATTTATAAATTTATTTAGTGCAGTAAATTTTTTTAGAATTTATACGTTGTGTTATCGATACTATTACGTGCTATTTTAAATAATTTGTTGTATTATTATCACTTTTACGTATTATTTCGTGTATTATGTTGTATTATTATTATTTACGTATTATTTGTATAATTTGTTGTATTATTTCTACAATTACGTATCAACTGTTGTATTAACATAACTGGTACGTTTTATCGCGTAGATAATTATCCTATAATTATTTGATTTTAAATATAAGTAATTATATTTTTTATTAATTATTCTTGTTTAATTATGTAATTTCTTGCATTATTTCTTCTGTTGTGTATTATCGATTATATTACTATAACTGGTACGTTTTAATGTGTAGATAATTTTTATGTAATTATTTACTTTTTTTTGTGATTATTATTATTTTATCTAATTTTTAAAAAACCATAATTTCCTATATATATATATATATATATATATATATATTATAAATTTCATCCTCTCTCTCCTTCTCTTCTTCCCTAAAAAAAATACAGCCGCCCCCTTTTCTGTATCTCTCTCCTCTGTTTTCTCTTTCTCTCTCTCACGGCAAACACCCAGCCGCCTCGTTCTCTTCCCCGACAACACTCAACTCCACCCTTCCCTGCTCGTCGCCGCCAGCTAGGCCACCCTAAGCCGCCCGCCTTAGCGTTCCACCTCACCCCCTTTTCTTCATCAACCCTGCTCGCCCTACGTCCTCCGCCAAAGCTTCCCACCTCCCTCTACACAGTACCACCCACGCCCTCGAGCTTCGCCTCCAACCCATCCCTTAGGCCACCGTCGACAGCAGCCCCACTCGAGATCGCGGCTTGCTCAACCCCGACCCAGACAATCCGCCGCCTCCTCGACCCCTGTTTACACCCACCCCGAGGCCTCCCACGTCGCGAGCCCGCGCCTCCCCTTCTTCTCCCATGCCGCAGACCACGCTTCCTCTACCTCCGCCCGCTTCTCCTCTGTTTCCCCCTCAGACCCACCGCTCAGCCCCTCCCGCTGCTCCGTCTCGTCAGCCTTCGACAGTCGCCCAGGCGTCTCCCTCTCTCTCCGTCCGGTCCCCCAACACCGTATGCTGCCTCTTCTCCTGCGGCACACAAACCCCCGCGGCAGCCTCCCTCTCTTCCCCACTGCCCCTTGCCGTTCTCCGATAGCCCAAAATCCGACGAACTCCACGCCTGTCACCGCAGCCCCTCACCGGAGCTCTTCCTGACATCGTGCCCCCACGTCGGATCTGACCCGCACCATCAACATCGAATCATTCGACGAACCCCGAGGCAAGATCCTACTTGCTCAGATCTGAAAATTTTCTATTTATTATAAAATATCTATAATTTTAGATCTGTTAATAATTATCTGCATTAGCTTGTTGATGAAATTGTGAATTATTTGTTTATGTTAATTTGTGATATAATTATCTGTGTGGATTTGATGAATAATATTGTATAAATTGTAATTATGTGATAAATAGTATTTTCAGAATAATTATAATAGATTAAAA